TCGATAAGTTGATCACAATTCCTCGTGGGAACGATACTTTACTTACTACTATATTACTTGTCGATCGCGTACACTTGCGTGAGTGTTTTGGTCGCAACAAGTTTTTGGCGCCGTTGCCGGGGAATTAGACATTAACTATTCTTCTGGGTTAGACTTTTATTATTATCTTTACAAGTTTATTTTCTTTTCTTTTTGTAAATATGTTATTTTTATAACTATTTGATTTTTCTCTTTGTATGTTTCTAGTTCTCTTAGGATGACATCTGAGGATGAAATATACAAAGGTAAGGTTAATGATGAAGACGCTTGGTTAATCAAAGATTTTTATGGCCCGTATTTTTTGGCTAGTCATGACCTCACCTTTTGGACATCTGAATTTGAATATGGGAGTAAAGGTTGGTATTGGGACGGATATTCTCGATTAGTGGATTCTGCGAAACGACGTTGTTTACTAACAACGGTGATGAAAGATTGGTCTAGGAAGAGAGATGAGCTTGCACAAAAAAGTGATAATTTTGGCTTGGTTGTGCATAACTTGGATTCAGATTTGAGTGCAAAGGTTGATGCGTGTAACGCCCAACAATTTAATGATGAGTTGTATGAAGCTGAAAAAAATCTTCTAGACCAAATAGAGGAGCTAAAACAAGAATACCAATCATTAGATCATATTTTTCTTGAGGATGTCCATGTTAAGAAGAGTGCTCTAGAGTCATGTGAGGGAGTAGATAACATTACTTTAGAAGAATTGAGTGTTTGTATAAATGGGGATGTAAATAGTAGTAAAATTCATGAGTTATGGCGCATTAGACCTCATTCCAATCATTTTTCCACATTGTGTTTAGATAGTAAGATAGTAATCGAGCCACCTGACCCTATGGAGAAGTCAAAGAGTGAGGATGAAAGTGTCTATATTCTTGAATTTATTGTGCCAAAAAGCAAAAATTACATTCCTCATCCAAAGGCCGAGAAGTGTCGAGTGAAAAATTTATTACTTGGACTGGTTATCTTTGTAGCCCACCAAAGAAGCATAGCGACAGACTTGATGCCTTGTTAGGGGTACAATTCATAAGTTCAAGGTGGAAGCAAAAAGTGGTTCACATTGTATATTGTCTATGTAGGATTTGTATATACGCCTGTGTAGTATATTTTGTATAATAATTTTGAATTTTGTAAAATAGACTAATTTCTTTTTATGTTTATTGTTTATATTTTCAGCTTAGTTTGTAATTTTTATTTTTATGTACAATTGTAGTAAGTATCTCTAATATTAGGTAGACCGATAAACATTATATCATTCTAATTGAAGAACAGGGTAGTCTGAATCCCTGTTATACATACTAAGTGTCAACATGATATTAACAAAAGTGTGGGGTATTTACTCCATCTGCTCTTAAAATGATTTTTTTTAGCTAATATATCATGTTGTGCAGATAAAATGTCTAGGCGCCCAAGCAAAAGATCAAACATTGGACTACCTGAGGTTGCATCTAGTAGCCGACAAGGATGGGGATGGGGACAATGTTCCCTTAGAAGACGAAGAATATTTGCGCACATTTGAAGAAGAAGATGCTTAGGCCAATGGCCTCAGGGAGTATTTTTTCTGATCTATTTTGTTTTTATTTTGCATTAGGGACAATGCAAGTTTTTAAGTGTGGGGTGGTTTGCCCCTATTATAATATATTTACTTTGTCAAATTGCTCTTTATTTGATTGAGTTTAATTTATTTATTTTTTGATTTTATTTAGTGTGTTAAAGTTGCTTTTAGTTTGTTTTGTTAAATTACAGTATTGATAGATAGTAGTCCTAATTTCGAAATATTGCTACTAGATTTTCTTGATTTAGTCGGAAAAAAAATCAGAATTAATTCGAAAAAAAATAATAATATATTTTTGTTTATTTTATTTTTCAGTTTAATGTACGCTAGTTTTGGTTTAATTTAAATAATTCCCCTTGGTTTTTCTTTATGCCATGGTTCTTTTCCAAGGGTGTATTTGAACCGGGTATAGTAATTTTTTTTNCAAGGAGAATTTTTGACCTTTGTGTTAGAGCAAGTAAGCAAGTTATGAAAATGCGTGGCACTTGTGAGTCATGTCTTGAGGTTGAATTATTATAAATTGGTAACTAAGTGTCAACATGTGTTATTACAAGAAATTGTTTGATAAAAAGATCGTCCTTATGTGAAGTTTATGTTAATTGCTCGAGGACGAGCAATGGTTTAAGTGTGGGGTGTTGATAATAGGCTAAATTGTTTAATATAGCCTATGTTTTAGCTCAACTTAAGGATGGTTTACTATTGTAAATGTTCAAATAATGCAAA